ACACACACACACACACACACACACACACACACACACACACACACACACAAAACCCAGAATAAACATGAAATCAAACAAAGACATCATGTTCAATTTCAAACAAGTTGAGCATTTTGGTAAGTGTTTCAATGTTATTCAAGTTAAACTCTTAACTTGCACCACCTGGGGTAGAAATGGGCGACTTAATTTAAAATGTAACATCTCGTAGCTGATACTGATATTTGTTTATTGAGCATGTGGCTAAAACACGAGCCAGCCCTGCTCCCAATCGTGGGCTTGTTTCCATTGAGCACCATAAATGCCTTATAGAAGCAGAGCAGAGAGTTCTTGCTGAAATATCAAAGTGATATCCAGCTGACCAGTTAGCCAGAGCTCAGCTGAAATGTTAGAATAATTTGAAAAACTTGCAGCCAGTGATTGTTCCTCTCTCTTTTTTTCCCTTGCAAAATGCTCAACAGAAAATGGCTGCTCTAAATTAGTAGGACTGTTGGTGTGTGTCTGAGCTTATGAGTGTGCACCAGTGCATCGTAGCCTCAAGCCACTGATTTGCTGACTTGTTACATTAAGCTAACGCTGGCCAGACACCCATCAATCCTCCCTAACCTGACCCAGCAGGACTGAGACCAAACAGAGGAAAGGGGGAATGGTTTGCATCACTGAATGAATGTAAACAGCTTGCGTGTGTGTTTTTGTCACGCATCCAGTAAAGGTTTGACAGGATGACTCTAAAGGGAAAAGTGGCACAAAAAAGCACCAGTCAGCAAACAACAGCATATTTTTCACTGACAGCAGAGGGCCTCCACTCTATTGGTCTTTAAATTCTCTTGTCCAATTATGGTATTTCTCAGAACTGGGTCTTCTTGTTTGTTCATGCTGTAGCCTGTTTAGACAGCTCAGCCTCCCCGTGCTGGATATATTGAGCTAACCGCTGCTAGCTGCACTCCACCAGTTTTAAAATGTGTCAGTTGGAATTATTATGTTATTTGCACCCTGACTGTCAAAATTGTATAAACAAAATCAAATATTCTTGTGTTAGAGTTCAGGTTAGTTGCAATTGACCTTCATGCTAATTACCAGATTACCAGTTAATTTGATACCTGACATTAAGAAGGAAGTTAGTTTGTTAGATGAAAGTGAAATAATATTTTTGACTCAGCTTTTTCATGTATTTACTCTGCCTTTTGTCATCCTTTATGCACAAATGTAGCTAGTTATAACTCGATGAAAACAAAAGGATGAGGCTCTACAAAAAAAAATAAAGCAACACTTTTTAATCAGAGTATATCATCAGCTGCGCAACACTGCCACAAGGAGGTTCTGGGGGACAGGCATTTACTGTAGGAGAGCTGGACAGGGTGGTAGAAGGCCCTCAATCCATCACTGGGACTAGTATCTGTTCCTTTGTGCAAGGAGGAACAAGGTGTGCACTACGAGAGCGACAAAATGAACTCCAGCAGACCACTAGTGTGAATGTTTCTGACCCAAAAAAATCATAAACAGACTTCATGAGGGTAGAACTGTCTGGTACCGTAGAGCCCTGTATGCCATCAAATACCAGAACTGGCCGGTCCACCATTGAGAGCATGTTCACCTTGAGTGACACACGTGACCCTGGAGAAGCTCTGGAGAATGGGATGCGGCCTTTAGCATTGTTCAGACTGACATCTCTGGTGGTGGGTCAGTGATGGTGTGGGGAGGCATCCCCATGATGGGACACACTGACCTCTACAGGCTAGTCGACACCATCCTGACGGCCATTGGGTGTCAAAAAGAAATCCTTGGACGGATTGCCAGATAACTTGGGTTACTGCTAGTAACTCGGGAAATCCCCTTGTTGGTGCAGGAATATTATTTTATATCTGTCACACTGTATTGTTGATTTTTTTTAGGCCAGTGTTAAGTGGCTCAAAAAACAAAAAAACATTCCTCTTCAAACGGTCAGGTACAAGGACTGGACTGAAAATGAGTGAAAATGCAGTCAATGTAAGACCTTCAGAAAGCTGGAAGAGTTTCTGCTCAAGAACACTTAAGAAAAACATAATGAAAGTCTGACTGCTGAAAACGGAAAATATAAGAAAATGAAGAGTGGCTTAAGATGCCTGCACAGCACTGCATGCTTTTGTATGTAGTCTTCATGTAGCTTTAGTCTTAGTCACTCTGCAACAGCACGATAAACATCATTCAAGACTGAACTCAGATCACCACAATACAACGTTACAAGAGTGAAAAATGCAGAACACACTTGACCCCACACATTAAGACAGTTGGATGACACGCCCACACGACATACACATCCACACAGCCAGATTAAAGGAAGTGCAAATGACAGCTGAGGTGAAGTTGCTCTGTCACACACAAATGTTTTGTGAGGTGAGCAAAAGACTTAAACAGCGTAAAAATTGTAGGAATTTTGTCAAATCTGACTTGAACTTCAGATGTCACATGTTCATTTGATCCAGGCGCTTGGTATGTGGACCTGATGTGGAGAGACTGCCCACCAGCAATTACTGTGTCACACAAGCCATTAATACGTCTAAATGTATTCATTCATTCATTGTTTCGAAATGACACTATATAGCAGCTTGGTTAGGCCATTCTTTCCAATTCCCGTGTTCAGTTTCTTTTTAATGCAGATTTTCCCTTTTGATGGTGCCGTCAGTCATCCAGCTCAACTTGATTTGTTTTGGACACACCGTCACTGTTTTTGACGTATTGCTGCCACCTGCTCATGCTGCAGCAGACTTTGCTTTGTGTCCGCAGCCCTGGGTACCGTTCTAATGAGAGTAACCACATTAACTCAACTGGTTCAGTGCTAGATTGCATTAGAGCAATAAAAACAAAGGTTAACTGGACATTAGAATGAGATTGAGGAAGGATCTTGATGTGAAATGGAAACCTCCTGGGGGCGTTCCTCACACAAAAACAAACACATGTCCACACTAATGCTGTTACACTTCAGCTCATGCCCCCCTTCTTCGCCTTTAATATTGGGTTCTTTTGAGTATCTTGCACCCCCATGAGGTGGCTTAAATCTCTGTGACGCTGTGAAGTGGAAATTAAACAAAGCTGTTGGCTCAGGTGGGTGAATGAAGGATTTATGCTGAGAACAATTAGAGTGTGTGTGTGGAAGAGCTGGAAGCTCAGTTGCTGCACAGTATTAATGCTGACCTTTTACCACAGTGTCCCCTCACTTCCAGCTGGACCGTCCTGACTCTGGTTCTGCTGGAGGTTTCTTCCTGTTAAAAAGGAGTTTTTCCTTCCCACTGTTGCCAAATGCTTGCTTATAGGGGGTCGTGTGATTGTTCATTCTAAATTAGTGTGTGGCTGTGAGCTTGACAGATTGTCTGTCTGTATCTGGTACCCTGGAACAGGCTGGCAGTTTGTTTTGGGTGTACTCTGCCTCTGGAGCCATAACCATTGAGATAAGCTCCAGCCCCACTGTGACCTTATACTGGATAGAAGGAATGAAGGAAGGAATCTGTAATTGCTTTATTTTATAGAAAATCAAATGTTAGCTCCAATAATGGTGTCACTGCAGGAAGTGACACACAATCATGCTGTTTAGTTGTGTTGCCTTGAATTCTGAATAAAATACAGATTATGTTTCTAGCAAAGTAAAGATAGACCTCAAAATAACAATTGTTTCTTTTTACTTGTGATTCCTTCCATACTTTACATGGTCTTCTAATTTTGTTGCCCAGTGGTCAATGCAAACAGCTTACAGGCATGCACCGTGTTAAAGACTGATTGCAGACATCTTCATCCATTAGTAACGTGTCACATTCTGCCAGGCACCTTTAAAAATGATGGACAATGGGTCCACACTGGTGATGGCAGCTACATTGTAGCCACAGCTGCCCTGGGGCGCACTGACAGAGGCGAGGCTGCCGGACACTGGCGCCACTGGGCCCTCTGACCACCACCAGTAGGCAAACATGGGGTTAGTATCTTGCCCAAGGATAGTTGGCATGCATTCAGGAAGCAGCCTGGGATCGAACCACCGACCCTGAGGTTATGAAATATGAGTATGAATCATGTTTTGCTGTTTCAGACTGCATTGGATAAAAAACAAAAGTCTAAAAAAGAACAAACAGCAATTAACATGTGTGTAATGTTTGATCAGTGTTAAATGCACTTAATGGATTCTATAGTCTTCCCTCTGTCTCCATGTCTCTGTCTGTCTGCCTCTCCAGCCATCCTGGTCTACAGAGTGTTTCACAATGAGCCGAAGAAGAACGTAAAGCTGCTTCACGGCATTATTCACCTGCTCGCTCTCATCATGAGTATTGTAGGTAAGGCAGCTACATCAGCCGGCGTCTGACTGCTGCAGATGTTTGTATTTTTTTAAATAACCATGTGTGTGTCCGTCTGACATGTTGCTCTATGCGTGCGTGCAGGTTTTGTGGCTGTGTTTGACTACCACAGGGCAGCCAAGATTCCTGACATGTACTCTCTACACAGCTGGTGCGGTATGACTACCCTAATCCTGTTCTGCTTACAGGTACACACACACAGACTGAATCTCTGCAGCAAATGTAACAGATTACAACACTAAACTTTTTATCCCTCCATTTTTGCCAGTGGGTGATGGGTTTGATGTTCTTCCTGTTTCCTGTTGCGTCGGCATGGTTACGAGCCTCATACTTGCCTGTCCACGTGTTCTGTGGCCTGGCTCTGCTGGTAATGTCCGTAGGGACCAGCCTGCTGGGCATCACGGAGACGCTCCTCTTCAACATCATGTATGTCTGTGCTCGAGTATCTGCCCCCTCGTCTTCATTTCATTAGTGATGTTCTTTAGGCATAAACCACAGACAGTATGACATCACACGAGTGGCTTGTGAAGGTCGTTGTGTTTTTGTCATTTCTTTTTGAAATCATTTCTTGTTTAAGTAACTACATTTATTTGACTATTTCCACATTATTGTATATTCAGCACCAGTGGTTTGATCTGAAAATATAAAGCTGGACATTTGTCCAGGGAATATAACATGGCCGGTTTTTATGGCTTCATATCAGATATTACGAGTCTGGTGCGTAAAGGCCTTTTTAGTTAGGGTCATCGCTGATTACAGCTTGGATCTCAGAAGTCAGATGGCTCTGATAAAAAGAAATCCACCACTCTAATCCAGTACATCCGCACACTGCTCTTGTTGCCTACCATGGTGGACATGGTACAATCACCAGTTGCTAAGGAAAATGTGTAGTGGTTCCTGGAGGTTGTTGGCTGCATGAAATTGGTTGCAAAGAAGGCGCTACACCAAAGACCTCCTAGCAGGCTGCTGAGGTTGTGGGCAATTTTTTTAAATCGTTGTCTGTAAATACTTGCTAATGACATGCTAAGAGGTAGCAAAACTTTCCAAAATGCAAGTTTGTCATTTCCATTCAAACTACAAACACAGCAATATGATAGTGACCAAAGCAATCGGAAGAAGGTCATTGCCAACCGAAATAAGTTTTTCCCTGGTGACACGTGGTTGCCAGGTTGATCACTGACCAGTCTGTAGGTCTGTGTGATCCTTAAGCAATCATTTCCCAGCAAACTCCACCAACCACTCGCAGTAAAGTCGGGGAGTACTAAATTTTCCCTCACAACTGCTGGTTGAGAGATGGCCACTGAGTGACCTACATTCATTGATCCCACAATGTCACAAGTGCAGAATGTCAGACAAGTTAACATCACATGGTTTGTGGTCACATGTCTGCAAATCCTCAATAACCACCATCTGCTCCTGATTTATCTCAACTAACCTTAAATTTTACTATGCCCTTACCCACTTATGATGTCCCCTTGCTTCCTTGGGGCCAGGCCGACCTACTCTAAGTTCACCCCAGAGGGAGTGCTGGCCAACGTCTTGGGTATCCTGTTGGTGTGCTTTGGATTGGTGCTGGGACACCTGATGACGAGGGAGGAGTACAGACGCCCACCAAACCCAGAGGAAGAAGCTCTGTCCGTCCATTTCAAGACACTGACTGACGGGGGATCACCAACCACGCCTTAATCTCACTCTGAAGCCTGACGCCTCTCTGTGATCTACATCTACAGAGCCAACAGACCACCTGTGCTACCAGTCTCTGTTAGTACCTGCATACCTGTCAGAAAATGAGTTCAGCTTTAGGTTCAGTGAAGTAAGAACAGAAATCTGTAATAACTGTCCTTCTCATGTTACCAGCTCTGTCAGCTTTGTCATGAAAAACATTTATACAAACATAGTTAAAAATGTACTGTTTCACTACACATTGTGATATGGAGCGTCATGTTTGTGTAGTTGAAGGGCGCAGTTTATATTTTATTGTTTCCTGTTGTGCAGTGTTCATGGTTAGGTTGTGATTCTCGTTTTGCTTAAATGTGTCTTGGATTCCTTCACTTGTGTTTTATCATTGTGTCTTAACTATATTAAAGATGTAGCATCAGCCGACCCGAGTAGGTGCAGTGTTCTCCTCTCCCGTCCTTTCCTCCTCAGCTCTGCTCTGTGTCGGCTTTGTGAGGACAGTTATTGACATTAATGCACTCCCAGCGTCTCACCCCCAATTTTAACCATATTAACTACAGTAAATCTCACACCTAACATAACTCTAAAACCAGGTCTTAACCCTCAGACAGACAGCGGTGTGAGAAGATTCAAGTTGTACCTTCCAGAAAGTCACAGCAGATGGCTGCCATGGGCGTTATTTGGTGATTGTGCTGATGCTATCCTTTTTAGTAAATCTGGCACCTTATCAGTGGAATTAAATTTGACTAAAGAAAGAAACCACAAACACAAATTTCTACTTTGACGCTCAAAAAGAAGCTACACTACCCTCGGAACAATTGTACAAATCCTGCAAACGTAGCCTTTCTGTGAGCAGGGTGGAGCAAGGTGGAGCAGGGTGGTGCGCTGGTAGTCTGTAGGATAGACTCTGTGCTCTGCTGGAGAACCACGTGTTCAAAAACTGTTCTCCGCAGCCGCTGTCTACTCTCCGTGCTGCTCTTCTGTCTGTGAACATTGGTTGAGTTCCCCTCATGTTCCTCTCTGTGTAACTAAAGAGCCACAGGTCCACGTTCATTTTGGGGTCAATATGTGGCATCAAAGGTGGTGTGAATTGGTTGTATGATAAAATTTCCTCTGCTGTTGCTCCGTCTTCGTGACCTGCAGTACCATAAAGTCCTATTTTCTGACCGAATCCTATCAGTAACTGTTCCTGTTTAAATGCTTCAATAACCTGTTGTGTGTATTCAAATACCTACATGTATGTTTTAAATCTACTTTTTGTTTTGTTTTGCTCGACTTCGGCTCGGACTTCAGTCTTTGTGCCTCAGAGAGAGCTTGGTGGAGGTTGTTCATTTTTCTGTAAGTTGTGACAGTGTCGTTGTTCACAGGAAGTCCCGATCTTATCAGGACAACCTGAAATAAAGTGTTTGAGATTATTTTCCCCAGATTTTTAACATTGGATGTGAAAGCAGCAAGAAAACATATTTGAATTGTAGATTGTTTTAAAATGAACATTCTAAAACAAACATTTTTACTGTACGTAACAAGCTGTTCACGTCACCTTTATGTGCATTAAGCTGCACCAGTTTTGTCGTTTTTGCCTTTGTACACCAACATAGTGGATTTTAAATCACACAGGCAAGATGTCATTGAAGTGCAGACATTCAGTAATAATCTAAGTGGGTATCACGTTAACTGTTCAGGGTTTACATTTTCTAACGCTCAAATGGAACTGGACATGGAACTGAAAAGCAGTTTGATGGCCAGTTGAGGTCTGTTCCCTCTTTATTTCCTGAAAGGTTAAACAGATAAAAGATCTGTAGTTTACCCTGAGAGCTGCGCTTGCCACTCCTAAAGTTTTCCACAGCAAAAAGTTTAGGATGGCCGAAGGAGCAGTCTGGCTCATTCTTACAAAGCAATCATAAAAGGCCCGATAGCCCACTGACTGGTGCTTTATGTTAAAATCAATATTCTATTTAGATTGCTTCTGCTGCCCCCAAGTGGCCAAAAAACAATCAGTTATTGTAAGAGCACTGCATATAAGATCAACACAATCTTTCCACCACAGTTAAAGCAAAAGCATTTATCCATGTGAGCATATAAATGAATACTTGTGCTAATAACAATGCATACAGTATGTAATGCTGTCTGCAAACACATACGGGAACACAGTTTTTCTTCATTGTAAAACCTTTAGGGCCTTTAACCAGTGTTGCCACATAGCAAGAAGGTAAAGTTCTTGTTCTAATGTAAGATTATACCCAAAAAAGCTTTTCCTTGTTGGGTCACACAATGAGAGACAGACTTACAGTTCAGTCTTTTATTCAGCTTTATTCCTCTTTCTAACTCAGTGATTCCACATGAGCCAAAAACACATTCATGTTGCTTGAAATGTTTGATAATGAAGCTCTTCTCGTCACCATCCTTGGTTTTAAATGTAAGCTCATCTTACACACTGTGAAAGAGCCCAAAGTACACACTGACTTGGCTCTGTTCTGACGGGATATTTCACAGTCAGGCACCAATGCAGACAGAAGGTAAACATCCTACATGTGATGCACAACACACAGTTTTGCTAACAGATTTTCCACGTTTTCACTTTGAACATCAAATTGCTAATATCATCTCACAGCTGCAGTCCCCTGAGCAGTACGAGATGATGGCAGTGGTCAGAGTCTGTACTGTGTGCGCTGTGTCAGACGTCACTTGTTTCATCAGCAACAGCAACTGAAAGTGAGAAGTTTGGGGGGAAAAAGCACTACAAATGTACAAAAACTGGCATTCATGTTTATAAAAGACAGTTTTAAAGAAGCCTGATCTTAATATATGATTAAAGTGAAACTTGTCCCTCTTTTAAATATTCAGCTAGCCACCTCCCCTTGTCGTTAACAAGGTTAAGATGGAAAAGTTAAATCATTCCTTGCTGACATAGACAAAAGCATTTTGAGCAGTAAACCGTGTCTTTTGCCATAAATATGTTGTCTGTTTTATCTGTTTTAGCAAGCTAGGCAAACTACTGGTTTGAAAGGAAAACCTTGTAAAGACATAAATAAACATGTGTTTGATGGATTCATAAATGATAGTGTGCTAAAAATTGGTAACATTCAAAATCCCAAGTAGATGGTGATCGCTTTGGGAAACGCAAAAAAGAAACAGCGTAATTTCTGTATTGCAGCAGATGTTTGTTAGCCCTAGCATCTAAGGTACGATAAGAAAAACGCATTTTCCATTCAAAGTAACGACTTTTAAAACCCAGTAACGTGGCACAACGAGGAAAACTTTTTTTATGTCACAGTTACTGTTACTGACGCCTAGTCTTTGATATCACATAAGCAGAAACACTGTCGACAACTATAAATGTTTGTTATATAATAAGACTTTTGATTAATGACTTAAAATCATTTGTTGCAGACAAACATTTTAATTATCATCTTTGATTACGACAGTTTTTTTCCTATTTAACATCCAAATTTAGGTCTATGTTCTGACCTAAACTTCCTTTTTTTAATTATACTTTGCAAATTCTAACAAAAACTTTCACCACTTTTAAAAAACTTTTCTTGTCTCTTTTTATTTCTGCCCTTGTTGCCTCAAGAGAATTTGCCTTTTCCCAGAACAGCACTATAAATAAGAACATTATTAAATAAAGGTTATACTGATTCACTGCACCAGCTCATGGTACAAACCGATTTCACATGAAAAGTCCTGCCTGGCTCTAGTACAACTTAAGATGGTGTTGCTCCAACACAGTACAATGTACATGTTTTGGAGAAGTTGTTTCTTCACATTTTATTTGAACTTTACTTAATTTTCGAAGATTTTAAACTTTTTCTGAGCGCAGGCGTTTATAACAAGCACAGAAACACACCAAAGTTGGAGGAACCATCTGAAGAGTAAGTAAACACACGGCTACGTATGCTAATGTTTGTGAGGCTAAGATTCTGATCTGACTGTGAAACACACAGTGGATGATAAGATGAAAAAAGTGAACTGAACTTTAGTTTTTGAAAAACAAACAAACCTCAACACAGTAAATGAATGTAGTTGAATAGTGGTACATTTTTGGGCCTCATTGGTAAGGCTCTGTGGCTGCTGTTGGTGGTAAGATAGTTAGCTTGGCATGGTCATAAATTAAGCTGGTTTCGCGCAGATAAATAGATTGTTTCATTGGAATTTTACACAGTTATCTTTGGAAAGGCAAGAAAAACATACAACACCATCCAAAGAGTTCAAATGCACATTGTTGAGGACAAATATCCGGAAATTACATGTCAAGCCAAGTTAATGGTCAGAGTGAGAGTGACTGACAGTACTGACAACCGAGGCACATACAAGCAAAATGTTTCCAACATAATACAGTATGAAGAGCCCTGGTGTATCACTTGGAATCATATGGTTTGCATAATTAGACCATTAGGACTACAGAATATAAAAGGCCTTCAGAGAGCACAGAAAAAGGCTGAATGGATGACCCTTCCAAAAAATCCAATTTTTACAAATGCGCTATATCGTTCTAACTGAACCCAGAAAGAGACCAATGTTAACCCAACATGGAAAACTTTAGAGTTTCTGCTTCATGTAAACTAAAACTCTAAAGTTTCAGTTTACGTGTTCTCACAGACGATCCCCCAAAATAAACACGATGGCAAATCCCAAAGGAATACCGTTTTAAGAAAAAACAAAAAGAAACTTTACAGTTTGATACAGACATAACTTAAAAAGATAAATACAATTTTTTCTCCTTTGTTTTTTTTTAACTCAGTGTTTATTCAATGACAGTATTTTCGAGTTTCTCAAACTATGGCTTGGGTCTGGGTCACTAACAAGCGTTTGACTGGTACAATGACGCGAGCCTGGATTCGTCCATTTCTTTCAAGTCTGTGTTATTTAAGCGCTTCAATCTTGAAATGAGATCTTTATTAAAGGCGTCGGCAGCAGGCAAAGGTAATTGCGGTGCTTTTTCTCTCCTGTCTGGACCTCACCATTTAGACTTGAACTGCAGTTTTAAAATGTAATTCAAGCCAGAATTGTGCAAGAAGAAGAATACAGTCTTATTCCATAATTATCTTCTTCATTCTTGTGCTTTGTGAGGTGAACACCTGTTAATGTTTCACTTCCAAATGGCAGAACCAGTTCATTATTGGTGAATATGTTCCATGCCGTTCTTATAGGTTAGGCATCTTGCCTAAGATGAAGTGGCACTCTTTCCAAAAACAACATAGAGCAATCACTTAACCTAGCAAGTGAGGTGGAGTTCTCTGAAGCATACTAACAAATACAACCAAATGAAAACAAAAGCTTTTACCCAGTCTGAACTTGGTGTGTCTTGCTCTTATAAACATTCCAAGTACTAAATGTAGGAACTTGACATTACTTTGTTTCAAGAACAGTCTTCCAGTATATCGGTACAGTGACTTCATTTATACCACTTTTCATTAATGTTCTTGTATTGTCTTTACACATTGGACTCTACAAAGGGTCTTTTTGGTTTAACCGGAGACGTAGGACCCGTACGTCTCTCAGTCGGTCTGTCCGAGCAGCTGTGGATCATGGGCAGCGTCCGAGCCACCTTCACATCCATGTAGGAGAGATTCTGACAGGCAACCTGCACTGAGCCCTCACCCTGATGAACATTTCCTGGCGTCACGTCATAGAAGTCCAGCTGGTTATCATAAGAGGCGTGACCATTGTGGGCATTGTTGTTGCTGCGGTTGTGGTAGGCAAAGGATGAGAGCTGGGGTGGAGGGGGGTTTTTGCTGGGCGAAGTGACAACTGTGTCCACTGAAGACACGGCCCAGGAGCGAGACGGACTGAGACAGGACGCTGAGCTGGACGGAGCCTGTTGCTGATACTGCTGGTGCACCCTTGCCGTCTTGTCGATTACTCCCATAAAAGGAGTGTTCCTAGATGAACGTCCCACCTCTCCAGGGTAAGTCCCGCCTCCTGACATGCATATTTCTGACTGGGGAGAGGCGATCAGGAAGTTATCATCATGGTAACCACTAATGCTTCTAGCAGAGGCCAGATCTGAAGGTAGATCCATGTGCTGAACAGAGGCCGATGTCCTAAAGCCTGGCCCAAGATTAGCTGGCTGTCCAGTAGCAAGACTACCACTGCTGGGGGAGAAACGGACGCTGACACTCTGGGAATGGATGAGAGGCCTAGGGGAATGACCAGAGGAGGAGGTTGGGTGAGCACTGAGTGGACGTCGAAGACCACCCTGGTGTTGATACTGATAATCGTGCGATGACTGAAGCCTATCTGAAGACCCCATTGCTGCCTCTGTAACTTCCAAAGGGTAGTAGGCTGCTTTGGATTGGTTACGGCTGAACTGACGGGACTGGCCAAAACGGTTTACCCCCGCCCACTCGGCTCCTGCTGCTTTCCCATAGCCAGATGTGCCTCTGGCCTGGCTAACCAGGTCAACTTCTTCTTCTTCATCCTGTACATAAGAAGCTCCAGAGCTCAGACCAGGCTGAGCCAATGGGCTAGGCCTGACATCCATAGGATTTGAGCAAAAGCCTTCCCCAAGCTCTGCTAGTTCTTTGGGCAGATGGGCGAACTGGGAATAGGCAGAACTTCCCAAAACCATGCTGGAGTGGGTAGAAGAACTGGGCTGATTGGTTCGGACCACCTGTGCTTTGGCTGGTTGGAGCCAGTGGCCTTGGATGGGGTTCTGCTTCTGGAACCTCTGACCAGCCAGATGGGGGTGACGCTGGACTCCCTGGTTCTGATCTAAGTCAGACTGTGGATAGTTTTGTACACCTCCACTTTCGGACAATGTAGGCATACTTTCAGACACTATGCCACCTCGCTGCTGATGCTGGATTAGGGAGGAAGTAGGGCTGAAATCGTGATAAGATGTGGAAGGAGGGGGAGGTGCAGAGTGACTAGGTGAAGAAAGGGAGGCTGCGTGGGTGGGACTGGGGAGGTGATGATACAGATGAGTGGGGGAAAGGGAGGAGGGCGATGGTACCCCAGAGTGGCAGCGGGTGTCAAGACTTTGAACCGCAGGTTGAAGGTGACAGGGAGAGGAGTCTCTTTCCCTGAAACTGCTCTCTGCTTTCTCCTCTTCCTCCTCTTCCTCTGTAAGCCCCTCTCTATCCTGTACCTGCAAACAACCTGAATCTCTAGACCTGGCCTCGCTGATGGACATGTTCTGCTGATAGACGTGATTAGATGATGGAGGATGAGTGTCCTTTTGCTGTGCAGCCTGCCGACACTCTTCTTTGACCCGTGACAGCAGGCGCTGAATCTCCCGGTTGGATGGGCACAAACGGCTGGCTTCAATCAGGTCCTCCAAAGCAGCGTGGAATTGTCTGGGTTGTGATAGTGACAAGGAGTGAAAACAGGACAAACTTCAGAAGATGACAGAGAATGTGTATATAAAAATGTTTCCGGAATTATAGGTTTCATATTGTCAGTGTTTAGAAGGTCTGTTCCAATCTTTCGATGTCTGGTTACCTGAAATTTGCTGCAATCACATTCACAAAGAAAAAACAGGCTTAAAAATGTGTCCCTCCATCTGACATCTATGCCTTCAGTCACTGTGACTGTAAGGCAATGCTAGGTCAAAGCTTTAGGTCTTTACTCTCTGGTGAACGGTGCCAGTCAGTGACCCCACGGTAACCACTCGTCACTAGGGGAAAGTGTGTCTGGTTGGCAAGCGGTTGCAGGAAGTTGCATGTGGTCACAGAGTGGAATACTTTTACTTTGAAGGGAAATGGTCTCCGTTTCTGGTTTGTGCTGTACTTTTTCATGCTTCACCACTACATGGTGGTTAGTTAGTGACTGAGTGCAGACAAGCTGGCATCTTCTATGCAAACTATGAGTGACCGCAGTAATCTTCTAGCAATGAAAGCAATCACAAGATGGTTTTTGGTCCAGCACCCTTTTTGCTTTCCTAGTGATTGGAGGTTAACAGGGGATTGCCAGCTGGTCTCTGGGCCTGTGTAACTGAGGCCTTAGCAAACTGTGTAGAGCCTTAGCATGGAGCTAACTGGAAACTGACAACACCCCGCCAAGTTAAAAGCACATATGTCTTCTTCTTCTTACAGTTCAGGTCACTCTATCTCTCAGGTTTTCTTTACATGGTAGTGAGCCTAAAACTACTCAACTCTTTCTCACTGCAATCTCGTGTCTAAGTTTCAAATAGTTTAAAAATGTCAAACAATAAAATCATCACAGTTCTACTACTGAAGATCCAAAGAACCCAAACTCTCAGAAGATGACGATCAGTTAGTTTTATTCAATTTCTCACGACACTGTTTACCTGCGGCTGCGTTTGGCACGGGCTCTGGCATAAAAGGCTTCATAAGATTTGGCTTTTAGCTCCAGGGCCTTGGTAGCAAACTCCTCAGCAAGGCTGAAGTCCTGTAAGGAAGATTAACGATATATCAATACTGAAATAAAGTTTTCGAGATGAGATTTGTTTCAAAATAATAAGCAAAATATTCTCAACATGTGCGTGTGTAAGAAGAAGCCTCACGTTCATCTTGCGGCGGCAGCGTGACAGGTTGAGCAGCACGCACACCCTGAGCTGTTTGAACGTCTTCAGCTCGTCTCCTGGAAACTTCTGGAGAGCTGACTGATAGGAGTGAGCGGCTTCCCTCACTTTACCTTGCTGGAAAGCAAAAAAAAAGAAACTCTTTCAGAAAGAACTTTGGAATATCGAATCAAATCGATATCGAGTCAATCAAATCAAATCTCATCAAGATGGAAATGTGCGCTACCTTGTACAATTTATCTCCTTCTTGGATCAATTTACTGAGCAGAACCATTAAGATATCTGGCTTAGAGGTTGCCATGGCCCAGGTTGCAGGTCCTACACACACACACACACACACACACACACACACACACACACACACACACACACATGCAAGTTTAGTTTAGGGATATATGAAGGATGATTTAGAATTCATGAAGGTTCATTCTGCAGGATGATGTATTGCTAATGGAAATGAACTATATGGGAGTCCGGCCATGCAGCAGTGAAGATGCTTACTGCATAACTACAGCATCCACGGTTTAATTCTTGCTGTTAAACTGAACATGCTTCATGCTTCTACCTATTTTGGCTCCCTTTTTCAGTAGAGCGATGACTGCAGAAGTGTTTCTGCAGCCGACTGCTCGATCCAGAGGGCGCATCCCGCTGCAGTCCACATGCTCCACTGACGCACCGTGATCCACAAGGTACTGCACCTGGACACGGATCAAAGCGACATTTTTCACCACTTTTATAAATTCTCCTCCGGCTACATTACATTGCCCTCTGCAGCGGCTGCAGAACAGGTAGGACAGGTAACTGTTCTAAATTAACTAACACAATCATGGTTACTCTGGCTGTACACACCACATCTGGGTCTCCGCAGAATGCAGCCAGATCCAGAGGCGTGCGTCCATTGCGGTCTGCATGAGTTGTGGCTGCTCCTCTCTCCACAAGCTCTCTGACCAATGAGAGCTGGCCTTTTAGACACGCCCAGCTCAGTGCCGTTAGCCCTTCTCTGTCGGTCTGTTCGAGGGAGGCTCCTGGAAACAGACAGAATCATTAGGGTCGGAGCTATTGTCAGGGTCAGAGTGAGTAGAATGGGGGCTCTAAGGACGACCTTATAAATAATGGCTACAAACATGGCCTCACTAGTCTCAGCACACATGCCATTTCTGTTAAAACTGTAAATTCCTACAGTGGAGTGTTTGATCACGAGGACAACAGATTCATTTCATATTTCTTCTACTTTTTTGTCAGTGTCAGGAAAGAGGAAAACACGTTTTTACAGCAGTGTACACACTGAGAATACTGTACAGTATCACAGCTGTCCTCTAAGATTAGCGTTTGTAGTTAAAGTATTATTGATTAGGACCAATCTCGTTTTCAAGGGTTTTTTAACATCTGAATCTCCTGATCAAAGAAAAAGTAAAAAATACTTTCTGACTGAACTGAAGTTGGACATAAACAATGTGACTGCTGGTTTAATTGCATTGCTGCAGCAACTCTTGCTGTTTTTCTGGCTGCAGAGTGCAGTGTGTGATTACCATGATCCAGCAGCAGCTGGGCAGTGCTCATGTGTCCCTCTGAGGCTGCAGTCATCAGAGATGTTCGACCCTGCTGGTCCACCATGTTCACCTCCACCCCCTGATTCAGAAACAACTCCACCACCTGACCGAAGGATGCATGAGGAGGAAGACTGCAGTTATCTGCTGCAGGTATCGCGTGATCATGTGCCTGTTTGCTTTCTGGTTCCACCATACCTGCCAGTGACCCCGTCTCACGGCGCTGAAAAGTGGAGTGACACCCTGCTTGTTTCCTTGCTCCACAGCTGCCCCCTGATCCAACAAGAGCCTGCAGACAGACAGACAGCCACATCCTGCTGCTGCTGTCAGAGCTGACGCAAACACACAGAGTGAGACAAGGGAAACCAGACGATTACAAACTTCAGCTCTGTAACTGAACATATGGCATATAAAGCTGCGGTAGGTGTTAGAGAACAAACATTAAATGTAGAAGCCAGAGTTTATTTTGAAATGACGCGATGGATATTAAATGAATCCACGTCTGAGCTTTGGTAAGAAAAGTTTGCAATGAGACAGAATCACCCAGGTCTGATCCTGGCTCTGCTGGAGGTTTTTCCTTCCCCCTGTCACCAAGCGCTTTCTCACCGAGGGGACGTCTGATGTTGGGATTTTCACTCTACTACTTTAGGGTCTTTATCTTACAACATAAAGGACCTCGAGATGACTACATAAATAAAACTTCTGTATTTCTTAGGAGAACCTTTTGTTTTCAGTATAGTTTTCTATTGTGTATTTGCTCGTTTCCATTCAGTTTTTATTGCTTCAGTATAGTCGTTATTGTATCAGCTTGTTTTTCACATTCACTGTATGTTTTTATTTGTATTTATTTATTGTTTGTCTCATTTTAATTATATTTTTCAAAGACTTATTTTATTGTGTTGGTTTTTTGCTCTTATATAATATAAATATAATAATCTTGGCCAGAGGAACCAAACATGTAGAAGAGTCCAAATACTTATTTTTTCTGTTTTTCCTGAAGTGAACACTTTCGTCCACTAGATGCTACTAATGTAAAGTATAGTGATCAGTCATGTTGTCTCCTGCTTGCCTCTCATTAATTATGAGGTTGTGGTGGGAAAATGATCCCGCTACATCATCCGTTATTGTAAATGACCTTTTAAGCAAACCAAAGCATGTTTATGAAAACATTGCTTCCCACCATGTTCCACGTGAATTTATCACACTGATCTGGTTGACAGAAAAACAAAGCCTGCCGTGACAAAGTAGTTACACAATAGTAGTTACATAGTCATTACCTGTCTCTCCCCATAGACTGTCATATGTGTTGATCTCAGGTCTCTCCTCCCCTTCTTCATCTTCCTCTGGAAGGTCCAATAGGTATGACACCATCTACACACACACCCGACTATGTGATTGTATATTCTGTACCACACAGTGTTATACATTAAAGGTGTGTATGTGTGTGTGTGTGTGTTTGTATCACCTCTGTGTGTCCCATGCTGGCTGCAGCAATCAAAGCCTGCTGCACTGCTTGGCTCCTGCTTGCCCCCTTCTGTCCACAGCAGGTAGTACAACTCCACTCCGCCCTCTTTAGGAGAAAGCGCAGCACCTCGAGGTGGCCTCGCTGGGCTGCGTGAACCAGCACGCACCGACCGGAGCCGTCCACGTGACCCACCTGCACCCAAGGGGAGACAGACACTCAAAAACAGGGTTGGGACTCTTTCTAGGTTAAATTGCAGTGATGCCACTGACTATCAGAAAAGGTTATGAGACCAAGAATCAAAAGAAAAAGAGCAACTGAACTGCAACAATCTCAATTTTCCTTATTTAACATATTTCACTGTATGTATAAGGTTGGCCCCTTGCATACCACGGTTATATTTTTTTGTGCACAATTACCTTGAAACAACGCAAGGGACAGAAAACTATTACTTTTTCAGCAAATGGTGGATCTACAAGCTACTGAATTATGGGATGTACTGCACGGAAGCCTGTGCAAATCCTGCTGTTGTCATTCTTTACATTAGCTGCAAACATCTGTTTGACACCAAACTGCACATGTGGAGTAGAACTGGTAGCTACCTTGGCTCTGTGCTGACTCAGCATTGTGACGATATCCAGGTGACCAGCTGCAGCAGCGAATCCCAGTGCAGTCAAACCATCATGTGACCAAGCATCCAGCTAAAAATTGAAGGTGGAATTGTGGTTGGAGTAAATCTGCTCCTGTTAACACCCAATGACGCGTCTCTATGAACTCACATGATGTTTAAAAAGCTCCACGGCCTTTTCTTTTTCCTTACCTGTGCTCCATGATCAAGCAGCAGTGCTACAGCATCAGTGTGGCCCAGGTGAGCGTGGACACACAGCAGGGGGGCGTTGTTGAGGACATCGCTACAGTAATCCACATCAGCCCCAGCCATAATCAGCAATCTGCTCACCTGCAAAAGGAAAAGAGGAAAGTTACAGCAGAACTGTGGTGGGAAATACACTCGTGTGTGTGTGTGAGTATGCATTGTTACCTTGATATTGGGGGTGTAGAGGTTGCGCAGTGACGCAAGAACAGGGCTCAGGCTCTGGGTGCTGTATGACAGCCACAGCCCTTGCAGAACTGAGGAGGAAACCCCTAGCTTCTTACTCAGGCCCTGGATGAGGAGAACAAATGTGACAGAAACCAACAGTTAGACATAAAACAGTGGCATCTCATTGGTTTGTGATCTGTAAAAAAAATCTACTGGTGTGGTTTCCAACCCATGTATCTGCGTATGCGTGTCTAACTTTGTGTGTGAGAGCTCGCCTTGTAGATGTGCGCCTTCAGGATGTGATGCCCGAGCTCCAGTGTCTGCTGTCGGGTCAGCTTTCCTGCCTGTCTGCAGAGCCAGAAGGACAGGAGAGTGTGGCCACTCCTGGAAACAGAGACACACAGCTCAGTGAGAAACATCTGTCCCTGCTTTCTTCTCTCTCCATTTGTCAATCATGCCCTCTGACTATACCTGGGATCGCAGAGGAACCGGTCATCCTGGCCCTCCTCCCTCCACATGAGCCACTCCCTGAAGGAGGTGTGGTTTAGCATCCGACTGCCGTCGCTGCGCCGCAACAGGAACGAGGAGAGCTGCTCCAGGCGCTGTGAGAACTCCGCCCACTCCAGCGAACCTCCGGCCAGGGTGCCCGCATTTACCACCTCAAACAGCTGTGCATTGACAGTATTGTATCCACTGTTAGCAACTATTAGCATGCTAGCACTAACTGAAGCACAGCTGAGTCTGAAAGGCACATCAGGAAGTTTGATGATATTTGTTCATAAAAAATATCCTGATAGCGTCACTGATTTCAAAGGACGGTTCTTACAAGGTAACACAATTATACACACAATCGATGCATTTCAAGTCATTACTTTGAGGGCTTAAATCTATTCGCAATATCAAATATGGCTCTGTGAGTAATATCATGGTCTAATTATAACGGTGTGGTGTGAATGAGACACGGCGGGTCCAGGGATCACAGGTTTGAGCCATTTTATTCAATATTCACACCCCGTGTTTATAACTAGGCGGGCGTGATGAAGGATGCCGTGCAGGTGCGTCCGCCCTCCCTGCACAACACCGCAGACCACGCCCCACCACAAACGGTGATAAAGATGACAGAGGAACATTGTAAAGTTCCCTGTAGGAGGGACCAACAATCAATTTTGAGCCAGCGGGGCAAGAATATGTTGTCAGTATTGCTAATGCTCACTAGAGTTATTCGGTGTGTATATTTGTTAAACAGTCATCTTCACTGAAGAAAAAAGTATCTCGTGTATGTGTGCTCACAAAATTCAGTAGTGTTACAAATGTTACTTCCAGTAAACTCTTCATGTTCTGAGTCCACAGTATACTACATAAAGTTTACCAACGTGAAAATGCTGGTGTGCTATGCTACAATCACACTGGGGACCACAGCCCACAAATTACTAAATTACTACAAACTTGTTGCCTTTGAAATGGTTGTTTTGAGACGGTGACCAGGCCTGTCAGCTCAGTCAGCTGCCATCCTTAAAACAACTTTGCTGTGTCAAGATGGCAGAATAACAGCAATAAGACAGAATCAGTCTACAACTGATTGGCGTCAAGTCAGCAATTATATGCAATGTTTTTGTGATGCTAAAACGAATAACTATGATAAATGTACTACCTGCAGTCAATTACTGATTTTTCCTAGTTGCAAGGAAGCTGCTGTCCTGTTTTTACTCTACTGCGACTGAGCCTTTACCTGCTGGTCAGTCAGCGGGTGCAGCGATGCCACAGTAACGTTGAGTAAAGGTAGAACTCTCTGGAAGGACGACTGGGTGGGAAAGCGCATGTTGAGCTGCAGCAGGTAAACCTCTGCTAGACTCACAGGAACCACCTGCACACACACACACACACACACACACACACACACACACACACACACACACACACACACACACACACACACATTAAAAGCCTTTTCGGTATATCAGATGAGCTACAAAGAGTGCACACATTTGTGCTTCATGGTTACACATCAGTATCTCTTTGTTTACATTTAAAATGCCACGCCCACTACTTTCCGCAGTGTCCAGTTATTTAAACTAACATGCTCTCGCTCTTGTACGCTTCAGTTATTTCAGCTGACATTTGTTTATATTATGTTTACACTGAAACTTAAACAAGTCACAGAATCGCTGCTAGTAAACGTTTTGGCATGTGCATTTCAAATACAGATTAAGTTCAGGGTCGACTGAAACTGATGTTGGTGATTTTCAGTGGAAAAGATGTTGTTTTTTCACACGCTGAGTTTCAGAGACTGTCCCTTTCACAAAGTTGTTTGACATAAAATTCAATGACTGAAACTAATTTTAAAATAAAATGTAGTCAGAACAGTCAGTCCCTTTAAATACATTTACTCAAATGCTGATATAATCTCCAAGAGCCAACTGTGACGGACATTTTTCCAGCGGTATGGCACAGTAACAGACTGAATGTGTCTATAGCTTTTTAAACAGTAGCACACACTAAATATTTCCAGTATGGGGAAGATTAGTAACTGTCCTGTATTTTGGCTAAACAAATCTGGTAAAAATGACAAGCAGACAGTAGAGAAAATAATTTTTGCCCTCCATGTGGAGTTCCTGTAACAATGTGATGTCATGTGGAAACTATGAATACCGCTTGATTTATTTCATCCGTGTTTAAACGAAAGTGCTTTAATCTGTGTCGATTATACTTCAACTGTCAGTTACTTCTTTACTCTAGTTCGTAGCAGTCTCGACTTTCTTCAGGACTTCATTTGACCTTTACCTTCTTTCCCCATCTCACCTTGAAGCTGGAGCTCTTCAGAACGAGGTATCCCCCCTCTATCAGGTCCAGGATCAGTTTTAAATAGAGATATGAGCCTCTGCTCAGGCTCTTCAGGTGGCTGATCAGTTTGGACAGTGCAGTGTTATCGAGGCGGCCATTGCTCAGTGACACATTGCTTTGGATCTCAGTGCTGCTGTGGATACGCTGCATCAGGTAACCCTGAGAAAAGACAGACTGATGCAGTACAGATGTGCAGACAGACAGAGAAATAGAAATCTATTTACACCTTACCTGCAGGTCCTGGTCTATGGCGCTATTCTCATCCATTCGGTCTAAAGAGATGCGGTGAAAGGGCAGAGAATGAGTGATGTCCTGATTGAATAAAAACACAAAGAAAGTTTTGTTTATTAGCCGTGTGTGCTGCTCACAGTAATTTGGCAGCACAGATAGTATTTGCTTCAGAATAATATGATTTTAATCATATTCAGAAGGTTGCAAACTGATAAGAGATATTCAGTTAACACTGGTAACAATGGCAGAAACCAACACAACTCAAAATAGTCCCCATGTGCTCGTTTGTATGTTTATGCTCTCTTCACAATGCCGGGAACCTAGGACCCACTGCACTAGCATAGAGTCTTTCTCCTTTAATGTGTTCAGGGTGAACCTGCTCTCATCTATGGAGCTGCCAGTTGTGGATTTGTATGGCAGATGTCTATCAGGCTCCACAGTGCTGGCCTGTGACTAAAAGGCCCACTAGAGGACATCGGGCCCTGAGACCACCCTCATGAAGTCTGTTTCTGATTGTTTGGTCAGAATCATTCACACATGTTCTCATCCTCTTCAACCCTGTCCAGGTCTCCTACAGTCTCCTGGAATCTCTTCGATGTTCTTGAGACTGTGCTGAAAGACACAGCAGGAATGGCACGCATTGGCAGGAGCCGGACTACCCGTGTGACCTCTGTAGGGTCCAGGTATCACCTCATGCTACCAGGTGACCCCAGTCAAATGCAAACAAATGCAAAAGTAGTGAAAAAACAGTCAGAAAAGATGAGGAGGGAAAAATGTCTGTGTCCTCCAGTTGTAAAACCATTCCTGTTTTGGGGGTTGCCTCATTGTTGCCCCTCTAACGCACCTGTGTGCTCTTTTGTTCCCATTTCACGGCCACCTTTGTGATTTTACACTTCTGTGTGTTTGTGACTTGTGTTTACCTGCTGACTGGTCCTGACAGTGGTAATGACCTTCAGCCAGGAAGGAAATTTCTGGATGGTTCGGGATAGAAAGGAGGTCAGCGTGTCGCCGTAGTCCGGCCGGTGGAACTCTGCCTCGTTTAGCCCATCAATCAGTACAATAAGGCCCGCCCCTTCTACATGCAGTTTATTTTCTGGAAAACAAACAAAACAAACTCACATTGCATCACTGCACATCAGTTAATGTGCCACAGCAGAATGTAGTAGAAGCTGTACCTCTGTAGAGTGCATCGAGCGGTTCTAGTATTCCTTTCTGAAGGGCAGAGATCGGATCCTGGATACAGGAGCGCAGACTGAGCATGCTCTGGAGCTGTGGCGCCCGGTGCAGTAGTTCACGATAGGCAGCCAGCTGAGGCGCGCTACTTAATGTAGCCGCCATGTTGTGGACAAACTCCGGAACGAGACAGGTGTGGCAGTTATCGGCCTGACAGAAATGATATGAGACTACCTACAAAACAGAGGCAGAAGAAAGTCGGTGAATCATCTGTAGATTTTCAGTAAAACTTTGCTGAGGTGGATTCACACGCTGGCCTTTTAGCTTCATTCATTACACTGGTTGGTATTACAGCAGTCTAATTCATGTGGGTCTTTTATGGTCATTTCCACTGCTGTACACAAGCAGCCTACAGAAAATTATGAAAAGCACAATGGGTCATCTTTGATTAAAAAGTAGAAAGAGGAATGAAGTAGGGACACTACCTGTCCCGCGAGCCTCCTCAGCGCCTCCTCCTGTCTCCTCCTCATTTCTGGTGTGCCTGGACAGCTTTCTCCTGACCCCCCTTCATCTCCTCCTCCACCTCTTCCCAGGGAGTCGTGGGAAAAAGTCTCCACATCTGGGAAATTCAAACATACAAACGTGTCATTCTTTCTGAGCAGCTGTTGCCTTCATTAACTGCATGATTTTACAATGTTTTTCTGATGCCTGGCTCAGCTATGGGTCTGGCTACTGGCCCTGTGGATTTTATTGGGTTACATATGATGACTCTGTTACTCTGAGTGAATTTAAGTAAACATTTTTGTCTAAACTGGTCAAAGACACTCAGAGCCTCGTCTTGGCTGTGTGCTTTGGCTCTTTATCTTGCTGAACCTCTTTTCCAGTGTCAGTGGTGAGAGGCTACACAAGAAATGAACTTTCTGATATGCAAACGCAACCTGAAGTTTAACTCTTGCATACGTTTTTTCTAGGGTTCTGCTAATATCCACATAATGTCTCTTGTACGACACAGTTTACAGAGCTGTGAAACAGGAGGGATCTTTTCCTCTTACGTTTGTTTATGGTCTGGCTGCTAGAAGCATTTGGCCACATACGGTTTCCATGACAACTAAGTGCCACCAAGCGAGCAATGATGGCCGTTTTGCCAAATCCCATGTTGCCGATGATAACCGCGCCCCGGCTGGTTGCTGGATCATCACTGCGGAGGCAGGTGTCCATTTCTTGGAAGAGCCACTCCCTGCCGGTGAAGAGCCAATCAGATGAGAGACCAGGAACCTCAAAGTGAAGCGGCTTCAGGTTCAGAGAGGGAGTGAAACGAACTGCTGGAAGAGAGGGAAGAGAGGAGCGCGTGTAATGCTGCCATTTATTATAACTGCATCTCAGGATGTTTGGCACCATGTGTGCATTTACCTCTGTGGTCCTGTTGACTACGAATCCCAGAATTCTGTCTAGGCATTCTGAGGGATGTCCTTGAAGGGATGTGTCTCTGCTGCTCATCAAGATAAGCCAGGTCTTCAAGGTGGGCCGAACTAGTGGCTAAAGAGAAATAAAAAAAAAATGCTGTAATAAGACTGCTGCAAAATAATTGACATAATGTGCTTTATACAGATGCTAAGTTGGTTATAGAAAACTAAATTAGAGCCGTTTGTAGATATATTTTTTTCCACTGAAGAAACTCCAAAGTTTAAGTTAGCTATGGTGAATGTGTCCTTACTACTTGGTACAAACAGGTCTGGCACTTTGGTAAACCGATGCATTCACGTTCTTGCCAAAGGTTAGACGAGAATATTCTTATAATTCTTGTTTTTGTTAAAGGAGGACACAGCTAGGAGAAATTAGTCAGTATAAAAGATGGATGTAGCCAACATGATGTCACCATCTGCTTTGTGAAGTCTTTTATGTAGCCTAGAGCTATATATATGTAGAGTCACCTTCATCAGCGAGACTCGTTTTACATTCTATGGACTCATATAGCTCCTAGACTTTAAATCTCTTTTAAAACTGTTCTTATTGTTCATTTACCATTAACATACCTCCACAAATATACTCCACAACAGTGAGAAATATTTAAACACTCTCAGTAACAAATATGTTACAAATCGCTGTATGAACAATTTAACAAGTTAATCTTAACATAACACCAACCAACCAAAAGTACTCATGTGTCTTCTAGCTTGTATGAAGACAAACGTGTTTATAGCTTTAGAACAGATTTCCGTATCTGTTGTTAGCAAAGCAAACAGGCAGGATTAGTAGGATTTCAGCATCTTGACAGTTCCTATAAAGTTGATATAAAACCTAACAAAGGACTAATACAAGTTAAAAACTTTAACTTTCCCTGGCTGCAAACACAAAGCTGTGAGAAACCTACCAGAACTTTTGTCTTAATGACTCCAGTAACAATCCTGTTGCACTGCAGAGAATACGAGTGCAGGCTGTGCCTTGTATCCTGTGTGTCACTTCCTTCCTTCCCCAAAGTGCTCATGACTTTTAGCTTTTATTGAAACAGGAGAAGGAGAAGAGGAAAAGGAGAATGGGCTCTGAACACGTTACCCAGGCACCATCTCCATTTTTCAGCATGTTGCCTTTTATCAGCAGTTTATAAACTACCAATGACGAGCTTGTTAACACACCTGCCTGTGTACAGATGGAATAAACCAGAAACTTGAAAGAAACCAGTCTTAATAGGTGCTCTTTTTAAGGTGTTAAGGATTCTGTATTAACATCTGCCCGTGCCTCAGTTATGTCTCTGGTGAAGTATGGCCTGGATCCAGGACTGTGATTTTCTATGTGTGCTTCTGAAACACTGTCTTTAACTCTCTGTGTCTAACTGTAGCCCTAACCTGTATGTTTATTATATATTTATATATATATATTTATTATTATATTTATGTTTTTACATAAAGGTGAGGGTTTTTTTAAAGACAGATTATAAACTAGAGAACAAGCTGTGTTTTAATTCCTCACTACTGCGTGCATGTGATCCAATCACACTGCAAAGTGTCCTGGCAGGTTTTTATAATAACAGCAACATTAAAAAACTAATTTCATGTTTTATTCAGTTTGATGCAAAATGAATGAACGTGCCCATAAAGTCATCCATGTCACTTATTGATAATATAGGAATCTTTTTCTAACTGCCGCCCCCATAATTCACTGCAATTGTTTGTATATTTGTATACAAATTTGAATACAAGTGCGTTGCGTATGCACTGGGACACACTCTGAATTCACTTTTGCAGAGCAGAGGGATGCACTATGAAGCCAGATTATGGGCTTAGTGAGCTGTGCTGAGTTTAAACTGAGTTCCCTGTCCTGCCGCTGGCTCTCTTTTTACCAGGTTTTCTTTTACGATTTGGTCTAAAATGAAATTATCTGTAAGCAATCTGCAAAATTATAGATTCTTTTATATGTGGAGCTTGTTAAGCTGGACTTTTATGGTTGGTTGGTGTCAGCCAGTTAGTTGTGACTTTTCTAGACCACACTAACTATAAATATCTGGTAAAATGCAACAGAACCTCACACTGTGCTGAAAGGCAAAAAAGGCCACATCGCATTCATCTGCCATCTTACCAGCAACCGAATTAGGGCGAGGCATGAAGTAGAGGGGGATGGAATGGGTGGAACCTGATGACTGGGTGAGGCCAGTGCCTCGATCTGGGTGGAGTTTGTTTAGGCTGTAAGTGGAGGCAGCCATGCTGTCGTCCACCCTATAAAGAAAACCCTCATTTCTGCTTCCTGACGCTACCACACTGGTAGACGAAGTGGACGCCACCACTGGTCGACCCCCCTGCTGCCACAGGTTGAGACTGCTGCCATGGTAACATTCTCCTGCATACTTAGCGCCGTCATCCCTCTCTGCAGCTGAGTCAGCAGAATAGCTAGTCAGCGTGGCTGAAAATTAGAGAGAAGGGGAAACAGGGGGCATTAGCAACAAGAGCTGGTTGTTTAATGGCCCATTTGAAGACAACTGCCCCTTACCTATGATCCCACTGTCTCTGCTCTCCAGTGTTGAGGTGGGGGAGGTGACGGAGGCATGGTTCGGGGAGGCGTGCTTGTTGTTACTACTGCCTTCAGCACCAGTGGGAGGGTGCAGTGTGGAACTGGGCGAGGTGTTGCTACTAGCCAGACTGGAAGAAGGAGACATCCTCTGTGGGAAAGGCAAAAGAAAAATAGAAATATTCTTCTATTATTGTGCATTATAGGTATTAATGTTATATCGTACAGTTCTCATTCTTATAGTTATCATCTGTCTGTATAAGTTAGCATTTTTTGGCAAAACATCTTTAAATATTCAAATAGAAACACAGTGGATGGATGAAATAGATTTATCCGTGGAACGAGACTTTCCACGACCTCGATAAAACATCGTATGGCAGATTCACAGTTAAATCTCTGAACCTAAGAGCATTCGATGATTTAGGTGGAACAAAAGCGTGTGTGTTACTTACCTGCCCATCCTGAGCATGGTAAGGGGAGCCTGGCTCTCCACTGATGACCTTTTCTCCAAGTAGAAAACCAAGCCTCGTCATCAGGGCATCAGCTGCCTCATCTACTGAGGGGGGTGGTCCTAACTCCTCATCTTCACCTAACGAGTGAAGAAAAGGGAATTTAAAAAAAATACTATGCTGATAATGTCATCTGACTGTTGACTGTGACATGTTAAACAATGGAGACCGTATACCTCCATGTATTATAATCACATTACATTTTTTCAGTAATGCAGTAACATAAACCATTAGTGAAAAATTTAATTCCAGTTGCAATTATGCCAGTACTTGTGTTACAAAGATTTCAGCTTGTGTGCAGCAGAAGGAGAACGATGAAGTCTACAGCTTGTCAGGAATGAGATATGGACATTCATTTTATTTTTATGGCACAAAGGGACGAGAGCGTGATGATAACGTTGAATCTGCATGCAGGACAGAAACAACTGGATTATACTGGTGGCAAGATTTGAGCTTTTTGCAAGCACGGACAACATGCTAACGCAGGGCTAGCGAAAAACCTAGCGTGATGAGCAGGGAGAGGATGAGCTTCAACAGAAGACAAAGCAGTGATGAGCAGTCAGCCTCTGTTTCTACCTGTTCATAGTAGAATCACTGTGATGATTGTTTTCAGGTCTCTCATACGCTCATACATATTCCATGTGTGTCCACCGTCCGTATTTGTGTCCATATGGGGATTTGTGTTGGTGTGTGGGACTGTAGTGATTCCACTTCCATCACTTATCGAATCCATTCCTTATTGATTCTCAATGGCGTCACTTTGAGAGTCACCGCCATCGCCAAGCAGCTTATCAAACACATTACATTTGTTCAAATGAATTGCATGCTGGGTGATTACATTTTTTTGCATGTTGGAGGTATGTCCCCTCTTTCTTGCCATCTGGGTTGGAGTCATTACTCAAAAAAAAGTGTTCTGTATTACACAGAACACTTTTCTAATCCAGCACACGTTACATTAATTTCATGTTTCTCCATAAAATGACCTGAAACACACTGTCTCATGATTACCATTTAACAATATAAACCCACAGGCTACAGCCCCACACACCAACACAAATCTTTCTCTAAGTACGTAGGTAAGAACACAAAGCAAAGATGAAAACCAGCACAAAGAGACTTTAAAACATGAACAGATAGAAATGCAGGCTGTAGCCTGACTGCTCATCAGATTGTTATCTGTTGAAGTTCAGTGTCTGGCTGCTGGGCTGGGGTCTGCATATGCTCAGCATAAAGCTGCCTCAATCACAGTTTTCTACAGACATCCACTGGCAACCTGCTAAAAAGTCCCAATTTGATGTGCTGGGTTCAAGAGTAGACACTGTTATAAGTCCATCCAATCAGAAGAAATTATGAAAATAGAACAATTCAGAGAATCTCACACACGCTGCAACTCACTCCAAGCACATGCAAAACAGTGATTGATGTTGCTATTAATGTATTCACTATCATGACCTAAATATGCCAAGAGCACTGCACACGTACGTACACACACACACACACACACACACACACACACACACACACACACACACACACACACACACACACACACACACACACACACACCAAGACAAGAATGTAAGCCGCAGCACGAAAGCTCCGACTCTGTTTCTCTCTCTCTGTAATTACAGCTTTAAACTGCTGACTGCTGGTGAAGAATCAGACACACACACACACACACACCAAAAAAAAGCCATCCAACACAAAGCACGTGTGTGTGTGTACGTGTGCACATACATGCGTGTGTGTGGTCAGTCAATGACAGGGTGTGTGAGTCGTTTTTAGCAGAAGAAAAATAAAATGGAAAGATCAGATACAGAGCGCGCAGACATTTCCATTTCTGCTTTCTTAACTAGTTCAGCTTCTGATTGCTTCTCCTGTCTTTCCTCCCTTCCTTAGGAGCCTTCCTCTCCCTTTGCCGTCCCTTCTTCTCTTCTTTCTTTGTGTATTTCTTCTTTTTTCTTTCCTCCTTTCCATTCTTACGTTCAGCTTTTCTTTCTGTCATAGTTTCTCTCTTCTTCTAACCATTTGTTTTTCATCTCTCCTCCAGTTTCTTTCCTTACTTTCCCTCATTAGTCTTCCTTCTTTTGTTCCTTTATCTCTTCCGACTTTCTTTGCACCCTTTGTGTTTTCTCTGGTCCCATCTTTCTTTTGTTTTTCCTTCCTCCGTTTTTTCTTTTCTTTCTTATTTCTTTTATCTCTTCCATCCCTGATTTCTTTCTTTTTCCCTCATGTACTCTCTTTACTTCCTTTCTTCCTGAACCAGAAGGACTTTCTGCTATAACAGAATCCTGATATAGAAACACTAACATGTTTCTGTCAGTAAAATGATGCAATCATTTCTGAAGTTCTGGAGCAGTCTGAAAGTGTCACTATGATTCTGCTTGTTAACTGCACCTCTGACTTCCTGTAACATTCAGTGAATAAAATGATGAACAGCATCAAGAGCATAATCCTGGGGCAAGGACGTTTAGATAAATTAGAAACTCAGAGCTTTGTAAACTGGGATTAGCGTGCGTTTTAGCTGATCTAAGCACAAGTGACTGGATACAGGTAAAGGTGCAAATGCAGTCCACATACTTGAGATCTGATTGGTCAGATCATTTTGGTCACATAATGCATTTTTAAATGAAGAAAGACGTCCTTTCTTTGATGTTATTTTCTGTTTTCAGTTATGGTTTAGATACAGTGGGGCAAAAAAGTATTTAGTCAGCCACCGATTGTGCAAGTTCCCCCACCTAAAATGATGACAGAGGTCAGTAATTTGCACCAGAGGTACACTTCAACTGTGAGAGACAGAATGTGAAAGAAAAATCCATGAATCCACATGGTAGGATTTGTAAAGAATTTATTCGTAAATCAGGGTGGAAAATAAGTATTTGGTCAATAACAAAAATACAACTCAATACTTTGTAACATAACCTTTGTTGGCAATAACAGAGGTCAAACGTTTACTATAGGTCTTTACCAGGTTTGCACACACAGTAGCTGGTATTTTGGCCCATTCCTCCATGCAGATCTTCTCGAGAGCAGTGATGTTTTGGGGCTGTCGCCGAGCAACACGGACTTTCAACTCCCGCCACAGATTTTCTATGGGGTTGAGGTCTGGAGACTGGCTAGGCCACTCCAGGACTTTCAAATGCTTCTTACGGAGCCACTCCTTTGTTGCCCGGGCGGTGTGTTTTGGATCATTGTCATGTTGGAAGACCCAGCCTCGTTTCATCTTCAAAGTTCTCACTGATGGAAGGAGGTTTTGGCTCAAAATCTCACGATACATGGCCCCATTCATTCTGTCCTTAACACGGATCAGTCGTCCTGTCCCCTTGGCAGAAAAACAGCCCCATAGCATGATGTTTCCACCCCCATGCTTCACAGTAGGTATGGTGTTCTTGGGATGCAACTCAGTATTCTTCTTCCTCCAAACACGACAGTTGAGTTTATACCAAAAAGTTCTACTTTGGTTTCATCTGACCACATGACATTCTCCCAATCCTCTGCTGTATCATCCATGTGCTCTCTGGCAAACTTCAGACGGGCCTGGACATGCACTGGCTTCAGCAGCGGAACACGTCTGGCACTGCGGGATTTGATTCCCTGCCGTTGTAGTGTGTTACTGATGGTGACCTTTGTTACTTTGGTCCCAGCTCTCTGCAGGTCATTCACCAGGTCCCCCCGTGTGGTTCTGGGATCTTTGCTCACCGTTCTCATGATCATTTTGACCCCACGGGATGAGATCTTGCGTGGAGCCCCAGATCGAGGGAGATTATCAGTGGTCTTGTATGTCTTCCATTTTCTGATGATTGCTCCCACAGTTGATTTTTTCACACCAAGCTGCTTGCCTATTGTAGATTCACTCTTCCCAGTCTGGTGCAGGTCTACAATACTTTTCCTGGTGTCCTTCGAAAGCTCTTTGGTCTTGGCCATGGCGGAGTTTGGAGTCTGACTGTTTGAGGCTGTGGACAGGTGTCTTTTATACAGATGATGAGTTCAAACAGGTGCCATTCATACAGGTAACGAGTGGGGGACAGAAAAGCTTCTTACAGAAGACGTTACAGGTCTGTGAGAGCCAGAGATTTTCCTTGTTTGAGGTGACCAAATACTTATTTTCCACCCTGATTTACGAATAAATTCTTTACAAATCCTACCATGTGGATTCATGGATTTTTTTTTCACATTCTGTCTCTCACAGTTGAAGTGTACCTCTGGTGCAAATTACTGACCTCTGTCATCATTTTAAGTGGGGGAACTTGCACAATCGGTGGCTGACTAAATACTTTTTTGCCCCACTGTAAGTGAAAGCAACAGAACAAGCTGGTTATATTTTTGGGAAAGTATGGTGGCTAAAATAGACCCTGTGAACTCTCTGAATAATAATAATAATAATAATGATAAGAAATTTTATTTAAAAGGGCCTTTGAAGACACCTAAGGACACTTACCAATAGAATAAAACACACAATAGAACAATGACAACAAAGAACAATAAAAAAGGCACAAGATAAACAAAAAATTAGTTCACAGTGAATATGCAGATTTGAACAGATGGGTTTTGAGTTGGGATTTAAACTGGGGGAGAGAACCAGTGTTTCCTATATTTGGGGGTAGAAAGTTCCACAGCCTGAGAGCAGAGCAGCTGAAAGCTCTGCTTCCCATGGTGGTGAGGCGGACAGAAGCCACAGCGAGCTGGATAGAACAAGATTGAAGTGAGCGAGCAGAAGAAGTAGTGCTTAACAGGTCAGAAAGGTAAGGAAGAGCAAGGTTATGAAGGGCCTTGAAGGTGAGCAGAAGAACTTTGCACACTCTCTTGAATTTCACAAGGAGCCAGTGAAGCTCCTGAAGATCGGGGGTGATGTGCTGGTAGGAGGTGGTTCTGGTAATAATGCATGAGTTTTGAACCAGTTGAAGCCTATGGAGGGATTTTTAGGGGAGACGATGTAAGAGAGAATTACAATAGTCAATGTGGGAGGTAACGAGGCTGTGAACAAGACTATTAACCACCTCACAGAGAGCCTGACACAAAGTCCTGAGGGCAAACTCAGTCTAAGGAGTTAGCTGTGACTACATCAGCTAACATTACTTAACCAAACAGCCTTGTGAGAGGTCCTGACTTCATTTTAACAACATCATTCAGTGTCACAGTAAGTACCTTGGATTTTCTAAAGGCCATTAGTATATAACTTAACTCATTTCTACATTGTAACATCTGTTTGGAAACCAATATGATCTTGCTTTAGTTCTTTGCGAAGACATAAGACACAAGTTTCTCTCCCTTATTTCAGAAAAAAAACCTCTTACAAAGTAAAAATACAAAAGAGAAATGAAAGCAGCAGCTGAGTGTATACGCTGGAGTACACAAAACCAACAGTGAACAACCTGAGGCTAGGACACAAGCTGCTGAAGAGGAGGAGTCACCACATATCGATATATAGCGATGTAATACTTTGTCAAAAATGCAGATAATCACGTTCCTTAACTAAAAGGACAAACTTTCCTGCTCTGGCAAGAAAGACATGTGAGCCTTGTGGACACCTGCATAGCTGAAAAAATAACAAAACTGCAGTTCTTCAAACAGCCACTTGGGGCTGACTGTAAAATCATAGCACAGGTAAACATGTTTACAGGCGAGTTTTTTTCTAACCTTTCTGCTCATAAAAAACAAACTTTTTTAGATTCATTTGCTTACACGCTTGGAACAACATACTAATCAGACATTAAATGGCATCACCAGGTTTTTGCCAGCTTGAGCAGCTCGACTCATTTTTGGGGGGAAATGTAGAATCCACTTTTTTTTTAGCTAAATTTAAAGGGAAAAAAGATATTTTCGCATACTATTTGTACAAAATCTGAAAAAAATCAAACACAATTAGAGATAACAGATTAGAGTAAATTAAAAAAATATGGTATTTGACTGATAAAACAAGAATTTCTGGCCATAGAGAGATCCATCACTCTCACCTTCCTCCTGTCTCCTTCCTCTTCGATCTCTCTCCACTCCTTGGATCGGACAATCCCCCCAATCGCGACACAACTGCGAACTCTCCTCGTGAGAGTGACAACAGCAAACGTGCAACAGCAAGCGCCGCAGGAGGGACGAGGTGTGGTTGACGAAGCCCCCCGCAAACACACCTCGACCACAACCGCAGCCATTCGCCGGCCCCCACGGGTGACGGACACTGGAGCGCCCGTGGCAACACCACTTGGCTCTGGAGCGGGCGCATGCTTTCAAAATAGCCGCCGTGCAGTCCATGGCTAGCTGTCAGCAGGACTCTGATTGGTTCACAGTACTTCCATGTAGGGGGCAGAGTAAACTAAGTCAGCTGAAGTTGTGCTCTTCTCCCTCTCCATTAAGTTTTGTTGGTGAAAATGTGATGACATCATGATCCCGTCTTCTTCACTTTGGTATCGAGCTCCTCCTTCTCCAGAGTACACAAAGGAGAGGGGGAGAAAAAGATGAAGGAGGTAGAAGTGAAGTGATAAGAAGAGGAAGAGACTCTCCGGAAAAAGAAAAAAAAACACACCAGAGGTGCTCCGACTTTTCAGGCTGAGTGACTGCGGGACAATAAAACATGCAAATCCAGTGGTAACAGATGAACTTCTTTGTTACTCTTCAGAGGTGAAACAGCAATCTGCATACATGAGAAGTGCTCTAAAGTTGACTGCAACTCACACAAACCTGGGAAATGCATTTCCACTGGTTATTGTCCTTTGTAGCCAGAAAAATGAAAGCCTTTCTCATTCACAGGTAGAGTCCCAGAAAACAGAGTAACAACTAAAGCATCCAGTGCAAAAACAAGCAAAAAAGCCCACAACAATCCTCTCACATACGGTACGCTCTTAGGTCAGAACACACAAAAAAGAACACTTCTAAGTGTGCAAAGCCTCTTTCTCCACCAGCAGAGCCTCCATATCTGGTCTGAAAGACGACCTCCCTCGTCCGACTGCACCGCAAATTAAAACCTCCCCTCCTCCAACCCCCAAAAAGAAAAAAAACCTCACACAGGCGAGAAACAGAAAGCCTGCAGGAGGAGCTGAACCGAGAGCGTAATCTGTTACATGTCGAGAAGCACGAGGAAAGTTTAGAAAAACAGTTCAGCCTTGTCTCTTCTAAAAGAAGAAAAAACGCGCAGAGACAGAACAATTTCTGAAAAGCAGCAGAGCAAAGAAATGCTGCAATTAAAGTGAAACTCTTTCCAAGAACAGAGGAGAGTGCGACCACAAATCACAGTGAACATGGAAGACTGTAATCCACTTTAGACCAAGAAATGTGGAAAATGTATATGAACTAAAAAAAAAACTAGTTAAATATTATTTAAAATGTGATTTTATGAAAGAGTGCAGAAAAAACGGGTTTAAATTTAAGACTTGAAGGAAAGATTTAGGCTGAAATTTGTGGAAGAACGAAGAAAAAACACAAAAAGCTGGTTTATGATTCTATAATGTCTCCAACTTTTACCTTTGACCTTTTGTTGTCCACCTAGAAGTAGTTTTAGGTTTAATAGGTTTAACCTGTTAAACCTAAAACATTTAACAGGTTACATTAATACCTTATAGGTAACATATAGATGTACAGAAAAATGAAACTACTAGAGATAATGTATCTAAAGCATTATCCACTCATCTTAGAACTTTATTACACTATTTATTTTTTTATTTAGTTTTCTAAAAACATACAGAGTAAGAACCTTTTGTAAAGCCACAGTTTAAAGCCTCTGTGATGTCACCCACTGGACTGTGAGGTCCTGCTATAAAGGCTCGAGTCAAACATTTTTACCATGAGCATCTCTTTGAAAGCCAGATGTGATAATAGAAAAGTGGAGCTGACTGTGAAACAATAACCTCCTCTGATTGAATAGTCATTCGCAAATAAGCTTGGGCGATATGTTGTCAGTCCAACAACCGATGACAGGCGATATATTCGCGCAGGCACAGACATTTTGATGGGCGGAGCCATGTAATCACGAATGGACTGATTTTCGTGTTTAGAATTTATACGTTTTGTTTGTTGAGGGAATATTTTACCTTCTTTTCTTGTTTGTTTCAGTATAAATATAGCTACTTTTTGGATTATTCATTCATTTATTTCTTTGTTTGAGATTCGCCAAATCATACAAAAGACTTAACATTACGTCTGAGATTTTTTTTTTGTGCTGGCTGGAAGAGACATTTTGAGTTTTAAATTACTTTTTGTTTAATTTGTATTTGTAGTTTGGTCGAGTGTGTAAGACAAACACTGGAACAGCCTGTAAACACGGTTATAGTAGAAAAAAGATGCAGTTTCTCGTTGTTTCCCTCCCCACCATTGTTGTTGTTTCTTTATTCAAATAAAATGTTTTTGTGTTTTTTCTGAACACAGGCCGCTGCCTTTCGTTCTTTCTGAGTTTGAGTAAAGGAGTCGCTGCATTTTGCGCACTCTGAGGAATGTGCATTTGTTCACAGCTGGAAGAGTGTGCCATTAAAACAGCGCTATTATTTTTTTGGTTGACCGCTTCTCTTAGCTTCAATAAACAATATTAGCAAACTTACTCGTGGGCAAATAAATAAATACACCGCTCTTGTGTAAACGATCGGCGAAAGGCTCGGCCTATCGTCAATAGTCGATATGTTCATCCAATCGCCCAACCTTATTAGCAAATGACAATATGCTAAACAATCCTCCTTTCTGAGTCTATAAACTCATTAATAAAGAGTCTACCAGACACAGATAGAATTGTATCCAACACAAAGTGTTTTCAGGTTGAAGGATCCCCCCGTGTTCATTAAAAAGAATTCAGATTTAAGCAACTTCAGTTTTGAATGAACTTTTCTGACCCCGAACTACGTCCATCTTTTACACTGTTGGACTTATTAGTAAATTTTTGCTAATTAGTGTAAAATGCCAGCATAAAATCTGATTATATGTTAATAATGTCTTTGCAGCTTATTTACACAGCACGTACATAGTTAATTACGGGAGGTTTAAACATGTTATTCAAAGAAAGTTTATCAAATATTGTAAACTGAAAATAAGCTAAAAGCTAACCTTGCAGTTAAACTCAGATATGATAAGCTCTAGTCAATCTTGAGCTAGAGTTAGCTTGTGTTTTTTCTTTTTAATGACTAAATTCAACTGCAAAGGCTTTATTTTTGGGGAATTATTATATTATTATAATAATTCATCAGATTATAGTGTTTACTAAGCAAAATACAAGTCCCAAATTGTATTTTAGCAAGAACTATCCATTCACTGCTCTTAAAATGAAAGCTGCTAAACGCTAGTGGCCAAAAGATTTCACTGTTGACAAAAATCTGCTTAAATCGGCTTAAATCTAGGACTCTCCACCATTTGACCCTAGAACTAAAGAAGCTTCTCAGATGAAAGGTGAAACATCTTCAAGCAACTTAAAGGAGTCCAGACGCTTTCTTTCCAAACTCCTTAGACTAATGTTGACAAAAAGTTCATCTGTGGCTTAAAAAAAGCATAACTGTGAGTTGAAATCTTAAGCAGGCATTAGCTCCTTTTTCTGGATTGAGGACATATAATTTATTTATTATTAAATTACTAAAAAACTAAATATCTGGCACAATAAAAAATGTTTTGTACAAAGCAACAACTTAATTTCCAATTAAATTACTTTTAGTTATTAAAAAGCTAGCTTACACTTAATTACTGCTATAGCCCAAGCTACATACCACAACATACTTTGCACACTGCCTCTATCTGAGATCAGTACAGGCAACAACTCTCTGTGTTGCTTGTTCCTGACACAACCTCAAAGGTATTTGTGTCTCTTCCCAGGATCAAACTGTGGATCCATGTCAGCAGCTAATGATGTGTAGAAGTCACGGAAAGGAGCAGGACAAAACAAAGGACAGGGATATGCCGGGGTGGTGAAAAAGAGTATAAGCACAGGGGGAAAAACACAATGGGAAGAAAAAAAAAGGGTTAAGAGAAATAAGCCAAATCTGAGATTGTCTGTGTTTGTGTGTGTAGACGTTGTGCAATAACTAAAGAAGTCTCCCTTCTTTAGTGCCGTACTTTATAAAGGGCAGAGAGATAAACTCCACATGGTAATGTTTAAGACAAGTGTGTCAAATCAGCCCCGAGGAGGAGGAAGAGGAGCAGCGGGAGAAGAGTTTAGGTGAGGAGAGGATTGGAGAGCTTGGCAGGGGGCTGGGTGTAATATTTCAGTGTTTTCTCTCTCACTCAGGCACAGTGGGACGATCAAATACAGGGTCAAAGGCCAACCCACCCCCATCTGCTACCATACGCTGTGTAACAGGTCACAGCTCTGTGTGTGTGTGTGTGTTTGTGTGTCTGAGGGAGGAAGAAAACACATAGTGCGCAGATGACACAAACAGTCTGCAGTTTTAACTGCCTTCGAGTGCCTTAATGAGGAACAGGCCTGTGTCACCATGGTTACAAGAAGATTTGCATAAATTGCGCGTATAGATTTCTTATGATATAGATTCATTATGCACACAGAAGAGGACACAGACCCTCCCAGCAGCTTGAATCCTGTTGTTTCAGCATGTTTCACACCAAACATGACGTTTTAAGCAGCAAAGCATTTGCAAAGATCAACTGATGAAATGACACAGACAGAAATGAATATGTTGTCAGTTGACAATGTTTCATCTTCATTGAAACGTTCGCTTAATGACAGAGCTTATCAGCTCAGACTGTTCCAGAAGGATTCCCCAGCTTACTGCCATTGTCTGTGTGCAGCTGGAGGGTTATGATTTAACTTTGCATTAACAGCCATACGGACTTTCCTGAAATCCTGACAATATGTTACACTAACTGGTTGTCCTCCTTCTCCTCCTTTGGCAAACATTTGTGGGTTTCTACTGTATAAGTGTACTCACATGATAAACGTGAGTCGACGCTTCACAACAACGTGCAGGTTTCTTGAATTTGCAAGGATGCATTTCATATGTATACATGTATATCCAACATGTTTATTACATTTCTCAAACAAATGTATTTTAGTCTTGTACCTTTCATTTATTCTTGAAGGACTTTTTCTTCGGAGGAGTTGAGCTTCACCCTCTAGAAACTATTTTAGTTTTGCCTTATAAACATTACTCCAGGTATGGACTTCTAGAAGTTGATGGTAAGTAAAAATGAACTACTAAAATACTAGTGAGAAAGAGCTGACATAGTGTTTTGGTTGGTTATTTTTTATATAGGCTCACTTTACAGCAACGGGAAAAGCAAAGGCTAAGCTAACTGAAGTTAGCAAACATTAACTACTAGCTACAAAACGATGAAGTAATCTAGTATAATGTGAGTTAAGATTGTTTGAAGTATTTTCCCTGTGTGTGGTTCACAAATACAACAATCCCCCAAGACTTACAGCTTCGTCCTGTACTAAGTGGTGGCACCAGCAGCACTGTAGCAGTTAAACAAGCTAACACAAGCTGGGGGATAAGATGGCATTTAGCGTTAGCCTGGTGAGTTAGTATCTGAAATCTACAATATCATGGAGTGAGTGGCATTATGAGGTATGAATTGAGACTATTTGTTGGCATTTTTGTTATTTTAAACAACTAAAGGCATGCAGAATTGTCTGGTAGTTATTCTTGCTTCTAGTGCACCTGTGAATGTAAGCATACCTATCACTCAGTGTGTCTGTGCAGGTTCAGTCATCCAGGTCATGGATGGAGCTTGAAAAAAAGAAAAGCGACTAGATCTCAAGCTGGGTCAACACACCTGAATCAAATGATTAGTTCATTACCAGGCCTCTGGAGAACTTCAAGACATGTTTAGCCATTTAAATCAGCTGTGTTGGATCAAGGGCACATCTAAGACCTGCAGGACACCGGCCCTCGAGGCCTGGAGTTTGACGCCTATGATGTAAGCCAAGGTGTGAAAAAGGGTATGGGTCATTATCAGCAGAGGTTTCGAGTGAAACCGTTGTGAGACCTTCCCTCACCAATCATGTCACCCATTGAGATCAATTGGCACAACTTTTTAAAGAAGTCCAGCTGCTTTTCTTTCCAAGTCCTTCGACTATCACTCAGTGACGCTGATACTGATAACATCATAAACATGTTCAGGAAGTACAGCTCTGATGTAAGATTTAAGGGCAGATTTATAAATATTTGTATATCCTACCAGTGTGTTCATATTTTCATTGGGTTACAACATAAAAAAGTAGGTCTTGTCCATTAAAAAGAACCAGGGCTGTGGCTCTGACAGTGGACACTTGGTTACTAATGAATGAAACACTGCAGGTATTAACCCTTTTTGGTCTAAGTCGTTATCATTGATGAGTTTGCCCTAATCCTGTGCTTTCAGAACATGATGTTTCTGTTCTTTTCAAAAACTGTGCTTCCAGGTCAAAATGTACAGGTTAGGGTTAACTCCCAGCATTATTTAGACCTCAGATGGTTAACACGAGTATCACATTAGTAAGGTAAAATAAAATCAAGGTATGTACATTGGATCAGAACAGGAAAGGAATTGGATCAGTGCATCTACGGGGAGAAGAAGCCACAGGAACAAAGAAAATCAAGGAAGGAGTGCAGTACAGTTTATATATTATATTTAAAGACAATTTCAAGTTTTGGTTTTAAAATATCACAGTAGCCATCACTACTGGTAGTTATTTCTGAGTCCTATGCAATATCAACAAAAATATTTTTTATCAGCCGTTTTAAATGCAAATAAAAATGTCAACAAATAATTACAATTACGTTCTATTTATAAGATGCAGAAATATATACACAGATACTGTGACTAATATTTGCACACATATTTCCAGCACTACTTGTTGTTTTTATAAGACCACATAAACGTCACACAATCAAATACTAAACATGAGTGATCGACCAACATACTGAGCTACACAGACAGCCCCAAAAGGTTGATTCTGTTCGTCTGGACGTAACGTTTTCAGTGGGAGAAACCTTTCATTGAGCACGCACTGAGATAAATAGACAGTCCTACCAGGTCTCTTGCCCAGGCGAAGGTTAAGGAGAGGAGAGGAGGGGAGTGAACGAGTGAATCCTTCGATCATCCTGACTTCTGATGCCTCTGAGTCCGTGTTACCTATTGGAAAAGTGACAAAGAGCCACAGAGAGACACTGCTGCATGAAACAGTGGTGTACATAAGAAGAACTCATCTGTATGTGCCCAAACAAACAGCCACCCATGATCTGCGTGTTTTACAACAATATTAGATGAAAATATTTTGTGTAATATAGCATTAACATATCTATCTATTTACACATCCATGACATGGCTTCATTGAAACACACAGACTAGAGGCACAGCTTCTGGTCGGAGCACAAAACGACGGGTGAAAAACACATATAATATGAATTTACTGACCACTGGTATTGTTCTTGCGACCTTTGCCGCCCAGTAGCATCTTCAGGCTGTTCCGGAACATGATTGCTCACGATGTCAGCAAACACACATGCGCACACTTCCTGTCAACACTCCTACAGAGATGGAGACAGAGAGAGAGTGTGTCAGTAAACCATTAGAACTAATCACTTCCTTTTCCAGCTGACTCCTTATGTCCAGTCATGTTATGATCCATATGTGTTCCTTAACAGAATCTCATTGCTCTAACAGTTTAATCATCTGCAGTGAATGTCATTTCCTTGTGTAAATGTCTCTGACCGAACTCAGTATACTGCTATAGTGCTATAACATCAATAGCAGCAGGTCCCCAGAGTATCTGAAAGGACACTTATGTAGCTTGGGTGGCAGAAACAGAAAACAGGGAGGAGACGTGGCACTCCTGAATGCCTGAGAATCCTGAATAGAAATATATGTAAGAATTCTGTTGTTGTGCATTGCATCAGTGATAAGCACGGAGGACTAATAAAAGGATAAGGAAATACATCTGTTATAGGATTATGTGCATTATATAGGTTCTGTCAGGTAGAAGATGAATCAGATTTCCATTTATTCTGGCATTATAAAAAGGAGCATGACTTGTTTCTAGAAGAACTTTGGTGGCTTTTAACAGGAAGAAGGCTCATGGAGAACCACCCTCAGGGAGGGGCGGCTGTCTGCCGTGA